TTCCACCTGCCGTGGCTCATGGCTTTCTGAAGTGGGAGCACTCAGGCCTCCTCCACACGTGCGCTCCCAGCTCTGAGGACTCCAGGGACCTGGGTGAGTTTTGCTTGGCTGTTTCGGTATCCAAGCCCCAAACTGAATCCCACTGCTCACTCTCGTGCTTAGAGGTAAAGTGGAATGGCATAAGTGGTAGCGTTAGGATTGCTCGCGGGAAGAAAGGAGAGAATGACCTTCCCAGTCCAGTGCTGAAACACACCGTCTCAGGTACGAGGGAGGGACCTCGGCTACTTTCTGCACCTCTGTTCATTCCTGTACCTCCCTTGCACGTGAAGTAAGCCCACCGTGCAGGACTTCCCAGGCTGCGCCCTGGTCCCCCGCAGGTCACCTGGGGCCCCTTGGTGTTCTTTGCACACTGAGCACGTGCTCGACTCGTGGCCTTTGCACTCGCTGTTCCCTTGCCTGGAACGGTGTCCCACCTTCCTCGTGGCTCTCTACCTGCCCTCTTGCAGGGCCCCGTTTGCCTTCTCACTCGGGGATCCGGCTCCCTTAACCACTAGGCTCGGGCTGGCCCTCTCCATGGTGTTTAGTGGAAAACTCTGCTGTGAGGTTTCCCTGCACTCCAGTGTCGTTCTTGCTCTGTGCTTGGACTTTTTCAGCAGCTCCTTTGGTTTTTGTCTTTTGAACAAAGTTACGTTCATCGTGCCAAATCTTTCAATGAAAAGCTCTACCTTCCCACCCAGAACTGGTGTGGAAATGAGCCCATGTTAAAGTTCAAGTTGTAGTTGACATTTCTGAGCTGAAATGAAAGTATAGCTTAGTATGTTGAGATTCCACATGCTACATGCTACATGGCTTTTGATTATGAGACACATACGAAGAAATAATCCTGAAAAAGTGAAGAGGCAGCACTGTTTCCATCTTTAAGAGTTGTCAGTGAAGCATATACAAGTGTGGAAAAGAGTCACCTCGTTGGTTAGTGGAAATGGGGCAGGACAGCTCCAACTCTGGCTTGGAGAACTATCGGCCCACAGTTACTGAGTCAGGGAGTTAGCAGACATTGTTTCAGAAGTCTTGAACCACTGGAATAATCTAATTTTAGCAACGATAAGAACCATTAGTTTCGCTAGTGAATAATGAATGTATGACACACTTGATCCATGTCATTGTGCAGGCTGAAAATTCATATAAATAATTTTAATAAGTGTGGGTAAAGGGGTCATATTTGCCCACTATGGGATACATTTATTTTGGGGCTGGAAGCCGTATGACTTTTCAAATGTATTCATTTTAACAAACTGCTGACAATGTGGCCTAATTTCAAAGTCCATTTCTGAGCAGAGGAGCCTTAATCGTAAACTAAGTTTAGCTACCGTAAGATTTATCATGGGATTATTAACTCAAGACATTCGAAACACCTGGATGTGAATGGTACATTGCTTGGTGAAATAAGTGGGGTGTGTGTGTATACATGAGCATGTGTGCGTGTCTGGACTTACCTAAGTGGGGTGTGTTACACACAAGCGTGCGTGTGTCTGGACTTACCTAAGTGAGGTGTGTGTATACACGAGCGTGCGTGTGTCTGGACTTACCTAAGTGGGGTGTGTGTATACACGAGCGTGTGTCTGGACTTACCTAAGTGGGGTGTGTGTACACACGAGCGTGTGTGTGTCTGGGCTTACCTAAGTGGGGTGTGTGTACACGAGCGTGTGTGTGTCTGGACTTACCTAAGTGAGGAGTATACACAAGCATGCGTGTGTCTGGACTTACCTAAGTGGGGTGTGTGTATACACGAGCGTGCGTGTGTCTGGACTTACCTAAGTGGGGTGTGTGTATACACGAGCGTGCGTGTGTCTGGACTTACCTAAGTGGGGTGTGTGTATACACGAGCGTGCGTGTGTCTGGACTTACCTAAGTGGAGTGTGTGTATACACGAGCGTGTGTGTGTCTGGACTTACCTACATGCACGTCTGTGCCTCACACTCCCAGCTCTCCTCCCAGCTCCTCCTGGTAAAGGTGACACTTCCCTCCGCTCTCTCCTTTTTCCTGCCAAGGAGATCAAAGAGGGACTGCACACGTGGGAGCTGAGGATAAACATCCCCTTGGCAGCACCGTTATGAATAATTTCTAAGACAGGCAATCACAATTCAAAACTAATGTTAAATCTTAACAACTTTTTTTTCATATTTCAAAGTTTACCAAAAATAACAATAGTTTTCTAATAGTAAAGTATTAACTGGGTAGTCGGAAAAGTCATGATTCAGTTAGAATAGAAAAACTTACATCATGACTTTTCTAACAACCCAATATTTACTTAGAGATTTTTGCTATTGAGCATGGGCACTCACCAGAGAGACAGAGACAGGACAGAAGGTGAGAAATCACCCCCGGGAGGATGGTCACGCTGCACAACTCACTTACTTTCTTTATAATCATCCTTTGACTGTCATTGACTATTTTGTTGAAATATACAACTAATATAATTTTCCAGAATTCAGAGTTGTGGTTAGTCTTTTTTTTTTTTTTTTTGAGAGGTTTTTGCTATAGGGCGCGTGTGCTCGCCAGACAGAGAGAGAGAGACAGAGAGACATAAAGTGAGAAATCGCCGCCTGGGGGGGGGGGCCATGCTGCAATCCCTTCTCCTCCATTCTCCTCTCGTGATCTTGGGCATGCACGCACATGCGCCCGGCGTGAGTTTAACCCACCGGGTCCGGAACTCGACCCGCAGTCGACTACCTGGGAGTCCAGCGACATAGCCATTACGCTAACTGCTGGTCCCAGTCGTGGTTAGTCTTTTTTTTAACTTTGGCTATAGGATGCATGTACTCCCTGGAGAAAGACAGAAATAGGGAGAAAGTAAGAAAGCACCCCAAAGGGACAGACACACCACAGTCCGTCCTCATCCTCCTCTCAGAATTTTGGGCATGCACACACGTGCACCCAGCCTGTTTCTCAAGCTGCTGGGTCCAGGTCTTGAACTGCACAATTGGCCATGTGGGATCCAGCCCCCTCACCACACTGGCAGGCACATGACCAGTCTTCCCAAACCTCTGATTTGATATGGTCATGCAGCGGGCACCAAATTAGAAGACACCGGCATGTTCGCCTCTACTGAAAGCAGTCAATGTAAAATCTGCTCTATTTTCACCTGACACGTTCCCTCCCAGGGTTATACAGCCCAGAGTGAAATACCCGGTTTCAATGAACAGTATTTTTTCAAGTGGCCAAGTTAGGTCAACAGGGGAAGCCCCCTTAGTGAGCTGAACAGAAACTTCCTCAGTCTAAACACTGAATTAATGTACCCCCTGGTATACGATTTCCTTCCTAACATCAACATTTGAAGAGGGAAAACACTCTAGAGACACGCTCGAGAAAATGGAGTCATAGATGAGGACAAAACCCTCGTCTTGTCTTTGGTCTCGGATCAGCACACCCTCCGATCCTGCCTGTGCCGAGCGTCGCGATGGACTTCCCAGACCACTCAGCCGTGAGGAAGTGATTAAGCTTGTTTATGTGCTAAGGGGAAGTCGCAGTGCAGAAGGGGGGGCTCTGACTCGGATGCAGGGGTAATTGATTGGGAAGACCCCAGAGGACGGGTGAGGATGGATTCCAGAGTCTGCCGGATGAGCTGGCCCCGCAGGAGGGGAGACTCTTCTTCCTCTGATAGAGGACAGAGGCCCCTGTGGGTTTGGGCTGAGGAGAGACTTGATTTGGGGGATTTGTACCTGATCTCTCTAATTTCTATACAACGTCTAAAATGGGCAGATCTAAGGCAGAGGGGGCAGGGTGGGCGAGGAGGCCGGCCACAGGGACGCACTGGAGAGCAGGCCCATCGTGGCCCATCGTGAGGGAGGTCGGCTGAGCAGCGGGGCCAGGTAAGGGCAGCAGTAACAGTGCGCTTTCTTTCCTTTCCCCTTTGTAAAATAATTATTTAATTTCTTTAATTATTATTATTATTTAATGAGCTATAGGGCACGTGTGCTCACCAGAGAGAGAGGGAAAGTGAGAAAGCAAGCCACTAGGTCCAGCCATGTGAGAGTCCAGCACCTTAACCACCACGCCACTTCTGGCTTCAACAGTGAGCTGTCAGTAACCAACGCTGACTGCTGAATCTCACAGCCGCCACACCTCCGCGACCCACATAAATATTCTCACATCTCACGAGTACCGCACCCTGTGTTATATTCTGAACAGCAGCGGGCAGCGTCTGTTCCCTTTCCTGGTCTGTACCGGGCGCCGTGGCTGACCCGGGCCTCCCTCATTTGTGAACACACGTGTCACAGGTCAGGTGCTCACGTCCCCAGGGGCGGGGTGGATCAGTCTGTGTCCCTGGAGCTCCGCAGACCCCCTTCCTGCAGCTTCGCTGAGGCAGAGGTCACACTCCACGCGCATTTGCCAGGGATGGCGTCACACTCTCACTGCCCAGTGGCAATGGCCCCAGCCTTCTAAATGAGATTGATGTGATAGATTTGCAGGCACCTGAAGAAACACATGCATTGGAAAGCAAAGATTCTGTTTATTTATTTGTTTATTTATTGATTTTTAGGGAAACATTTGTGCTATAGGGCATGTGCACTCGCCAGAGAGAGAGAAACAGAGACAGAAAGCGAGAAATCACCCCCTGATCACATCACAATCCCTTCTCCATTCTCCTCTCAGGACTTGTGGGCATGCACGCACATGCACCCTGCACGAGTGTTAAACCTCTGGATCCAGGACTTGAACGGCAGTCGACTATGTGGGAGTCCAGCCTTACACGATCCGTTGGTCCCTTATTTATTTGTGTTTAAAGAAAAGTCAGAATCCTGCTGCAAAAGCGAGTGGGAGAGACCATGGTGACCTTCTTCCTGCAGCCGTTCCCTGTCCTTGGTGCCCGCAGCGTCCCCAGTGGGTTGCAGTGCGCGGGGAGAGCCCCTCAGACTAACACAGTCCTAACTGGTGGTGGTTTATGTCAAAGTGGCTACAGAATTGTTAATTGAACTGTTTTGTTTTGTTTTGTTTTTCAGGGTCCTCTGGGGCCTCCAGGACAAAAGGTAGGGTATGAGCAGCAGTACTGGGAGAGTCCCAGCTCCCTTACTGCCTGGGGGCCCAAGCTGGGCAGACTGGCCACCGGAAGCCATGCTGAGGCCGTTGGGCTGGGCATTCCACTTTCTCAAAGCACCATCACATAATGTGGGCATTCAAGTTCTAATCGACTCCATTCTAGAAAATTAAATTCATCTGGAGTAGACTTGAAAATTGTCTACTGAACTTGCAGGTTATTGAACTTGTAGTTCAAACACTGTCAAAACATTGTGACCCAACTTAAAATGTGACGCCCATCTGACATTGCAGACTGAGTGCCTGGCCTTGCCCAAGTGTGTGCTGGACAAATGGCCACGGGTGGACGAGTCCAGAGGATGTGCTTGTTGTTGGGCTCCATGTGCTGGAGTGGTGACTTCTTGACTGTCATTTCACTGTGATCCCCGGCCATCAGAACTGACCACTGTGTTCTGAAGGAGGGCCTCGGGTTTCTAAAACCACACCGACACTGCACGGACGGCCCTTAGCCAACACAGTATCACCCCATTTCCCACTAAGCTCCCGCCTTGCAGAGGGAGTGCAGGGAATGGACTGCTTAACCTGCAGAAAACTAGAGGAAACAGTTGTGCGTGACAGGTGGACAGTGGCTATTCTTTGTCTTTGGAATCCAGCAAAGACAGAGACTTTTATCCCCAAGCACAGGGCAGGTGGCATCTGTCGAAACCTAATCCTCCCAACCAAGCGAGAGGCCGTGGGTCGTGAGACCACGCGGGTGGGGACACTGTTCTTTGCAGTAATGTCTCTATTAAGCATGGTGTGAAATTGTAAAGCTACCCTAATGCACACTGGCCCAGGGTAAAATGACGGCTCCAGGCTTCAGGAAGCCCTTTAGTGACGAACCCGGCGTACACCTGCTGCAGTGTGGCACGCACCACCTCGACTGGCTTCACAATTACCTTTCCAGGGAGACTACTTTTTAGAGCAGCTGTAGGTCGGTAATTATTATTTAAATAAAAAACTTTTCCTCACTATTACTATTAAAGAAATTGAATGCCATACATCTACTAAGAAAAATCTGTTTTGGGAACCAGCAGTTAGCGTAATGGCTATGCCGTTGGACTCCCACGCAGTCGACCGCAGTTCGAGTCCCAGACCCGATGACTTAAAACTCACGCCGGGCGCGTGTGCGTGCGTGCCCAAGATCCCGAGAGGAGAATGGAGGAGAAGGGATTGCGGTGTGACCATCCCCCCTGGGGGGGTGATTTCTCACTTTCTGTCTCTATGTCTCTCTCTGTCTGTCTGGCGAGCGCACGCGCCCTGTAGTGAAAATCTCTCCAAAAAAAAAAAAAAAAAAAAAATTTTTTTTATTTTTAGACCCCGAGAGGAGAATGGAGGAGAAGGGATTGCGGTGTGACCATCCCCCCTGGGGGGGTGATTTCTCACTTTCTGTCTCTATGTCTCTCTCTGTCTGTCTGGCGAGCGCACGCGCCCTGTAGTGAAAATCTCTCCAAAAAAAAAAAAAAAAAAGAAAATCTTTTTTCTAGTTCTAGACAGAGAATAAACACATTGTATTTTTAAATGGCTTCTCCAGAGCTACAAAGGGAGGTGTGATGAAAGGAAATGACACCACTATTTAAAATATTCACGAATGTTCCTGTCAGTTAAATGTCATCAGTTTTCTCAGGGAATAATTAGATTTCTTATTCTCGACTCGCCTCATCTCTGTCCAGCTATTCACATTCACCCCAGTACACACGTGTGCCCTGTGTGTATATATACGTGTACACACACTCGTGTACACACCTTGCAAGTTTTGTACGGAAGTTGTGTTCCCCTCATCGGTGTATAACATTCATGGCACCTTTTGGAGTCTTCTCCGCAAGAAGACTGAGAAGAACCCCGTCCCTGAGTCCAGGCAGAATGAGCTTAAATACAAGGAATCCGAGTTTACAACTTGGACCCTCTATTTCATTGTGGAACAAGCAGTTGTGTTTTAATTACCTTTTGTTTAATAGTGTTTCAATTCATGAAATTCCAGTGTTATTGGCACTGGGAGGCTTTTTCCAGATGGAACTGAGCCAGTTCATTTCTTTAAAATGCCAAACTTTAGAGCTGTGTAGCCTTCTGATAGATATAGATCTCAATTTTTGACGTGTATTTCTTTAAAATCACACTAGGGTCATGTGCGCATTTAGAAACAAGATTAAATTTCAATTCTAAGGTTCCTGGGGAAGTGTGAGAAGTCTGTCTCCATTATTACATATCTGAACGCAGTAGAGAAGATCTGGAAAACGGGACCTGCCAGGCACGGTTTAGCAAGGCAAAGTTAGAGCGGGCATTACAGGGACAGCACGCATTTAGGACTGAAATGCTCCACGATTGTGACGGTCCACCTCCTTTCATCTGTGTCTCCTTAGGGTACTGTTGGAGCGCCTGGAATTCCAGGGATGAACGGGCTAAAGGTGAGTTCTGTGGAGCGCAGTGTTTTTGTAGTACGTTACGCATTACCATCATACTAGATTGCGCCGTTAGTGATAACTTACACAAATGCTACACATACTCTCGAAATACGGGAGAATGGCGGTGCGAATGATGGAGTCAGTTTAAGTTCTAAAGACGTGTGGGGCAGAGACAGCTCGTTGTGAGCACGTGTTGTGGACGCGTATGTGACAGGTGCCTCGTCCTCCTGAGTGCCCGGGGCATCAGGAAGTGCCGTGCTGACAGGCATCGAGATACACAAAATGCATGCCGCCCATTCTCTTTTCGCTGAAACAAATGCATATTATTTCATTGGTTAAGAAAACTGTTCTCCCAGAGGGAATCTATTAAAACCCTCTGAATCCAGAGGAAAGCGCCGTTTACTATTAAGCAAAGTCAGGAAACAAATGGAGTGCCCAGCTCTGGGCTGTGCTTTCACTGTGCTGTTAATCTGGTGAGCACGCACGCCCTATGGCAAAAGCCTAAATAAAAAGAAAAAAAGAGGGAAACAGTGAAGTCAAACAGTCGAGCGAGCCCCGCGGGGCACCCCCAGCCCTGGGCGCCCTGCACACACACCGCTCGGACGGAGTGCCCAGCTCTCCCACCTACAGGGCTGGCACTCTGCGCCCATCGGCCCTGGCCTGCTGGGCTGTCTGGAGTCTGCAGAGACCAGGAACACCGTGGTGGCAGCTGGCAAAGCCCGTTGCTGGGCCAGTCTGTCCAGAGCCAGGGAGCTGAGCCGGGACTGGGAGTGTTGGGCCTGGCCTTTGAAATACTCAGACCCGTGAGCTTGTCTGCCCAGGTATTTTAAATCCACGTTCCCTGACCCAGTTCTGCCGCTGTGGGGGTCAACCCTTAACGGGGAGAACGAAACTTCCATGACCTTCTCATCTCATCCGTGTCCTTCTATCAGTAAGGCTGGGACACGACGAATTGTGAACCGGCTAGTGGCCCTGCACGAGCCTCCCCTAAGACGCTGTGCTAACGCTGGTGGTCTCTGACTTCTTGGAGTGTCTCCCCCTCGTGATGGGAGACAGCCGGGGTTCCTGCCTTTCAAGTTGGCGTGAGGGCTGAAGAGGGCGTAGGAGAGGCCTGCCCAGGTTCTGTCACTGCCCAACCTGCCTCCCTTCATTTTAGTGGCATTCTGGAAATGTCCTGAGTCTGTTTTAAAAAGGCTCTGTTTCCAGAACTGCACAGTTCCCGAGTGGAGTCAGTGTCCAGAGGTCCTCAGCAAGGCTCGGGTGTCCTTTGGCGTGTAAACCCCACAGCACCTGTGCTCGCAGGCGAGTGCCCCCTGAACTCTGCGTCCCCCAAGTAACATGTCCGTCTGCTTGCTTCCCCGGTCCGGGACAGACAGAGGTGATTTTTCTGTTCAGGACACTGCGGACACAGAGCAAAACGTGAGCAGGAATTGGAAGGCGTACTCATTCTGAGGTGGCTATGAAAAGTTTATAACTCAAGTATTTAGAAAGGACAGAAAACGGACACAGCACGATGTTTTGACATTGGAGGAAACAGAATGTGTATGCCCGAGATTTCTGGTTTTGCTTTTCCTTTCGTTTCTTTTCTTTGGCCAGCTCTGAGATAACCATGAAAATGTACAGCAACCTTTAACCTGAAACAAACAGCGCTAAAACTGTCACATGTCTCTTTTGAAGACTGCGTATCCTCCATTTCTACAAAGGAAATACGCAATTTCCTCAGCAAGAGAAAGGAATGTGACATTTTCTTGTCCTGGTCACCAAGTTGAAATGATATTTCAAGGAACGAGGCAGTTCATATTTGCAGCTTTGTGTGTGGGGATACATCTCTGGTGTTTTTAAAGGGTTCTCTGCCAAGCGAGGGAGCTGAGCGACTTGACGCGTCCAGGACAGTGTCAGCACGGTGACCCTGATGTCTGCTCCCCTTCATGCCTCTGGGCCCACGTGTGCGGGACCCCGTTACCCTGCCACTATTTAACATTTGTGCTCTTTTCTGTACTGTCTGTAAGACAATACGGCACCAAAAACACGGGTCTCCTTCACCAGGACAGCACGGCATTCAGACAGTGGGGAAGAAAGTTGGCAGTAGATAAAAAATTTGATATTTAGTGCATTTGAAATGTGTCTCAGGCTCTAGAATTTGTTTTTCTGGGACAAGAGCTTACCGTGACATAATTTTTAAAGTGTATTTATTTCATGGGGTGGGGGTGGTCCCTTGACAGGGTCCTCCCCAGGTTCCCAGCCAACAAGGGTCACGAGTGCATGAGGCCCGGTGTGTTCAGGGCCCGAGATGCAACCCCAGGCGTCCGTGTGGCTCTGGCGTCACACGGCGCGCCCTGCCACTGTGCCACTGTGGCCGCGCTGTTTCGTTTTCTGTAAGCAACTCAGTGTTCTTAAAGTGTCTTGAGAAAACCTTGCTACCAGTTCACTGTTACTGAAGGAGTGCTGCTGACACTTAGGAAATAGCTTTCAGACCGGAGTTGAGCAGGGTGTGGCTTCTAAGCCATCAGAAGTGTGGCAAGCGACAGCTAGGGAGTGAAACGCTTTTCCTGCTGCATTTGAAAAAGGAAAGGAAGATCATCCGTCTCACGGTGACCCTAGCTCTCCAGCGGCGCGCCTTCCGCCACGCCTGCTGACGAAGCTGGCGCTCGGCCCTGGCCCGTGGATGACCCTGGTGGCCGCTTCCTCCCACTTATCCCCTTTACATTTTGATCACCCCGGGGCAGCTGGTGGCTCGGTGCTTAAGGAGGGAGTTCAGCCAGCCGAATGTGCCACAGGGAGAAAAGGAATATGCAGGGTGACACGGCGGATGGCGTGTCCCTCTGTCTCCTGGTGCTCTCCCACCACACTCAGCATGGACTGAGGGGTTGGGACATCAGCACCGTAGACGTGGGAGAGACCGAGACCCCTCTCCTGTTATTCTGAAGGCTCTGTGGCCGGCAGGGTGCTGTCGGGCCAGTCCTGGCCTGGGCTGCTCCGTGCTTGTTCCGGGCAGGGGCAGCCTTTCCCCTGGGCTCCGGGGACTTTGGACAAAGAGAGAACCTGGACCAGTTTCTCTCCAGGCCTCTGAGATACTCTGAGCCCACACAGTGTCGCCCGGGTCTCGTTGTTCAGCCCGCTTCTGGCATCTTCGTCCCAGCTCTGAAAGCGTTTCCACCATTCGGGCTGGTTCCCTCCCGCCGCAGGGCAGAGTAAGGCACTCTCGTGCACCTCTCCTCTGGCTGGGTGCACTGGGCACAGTGTGAGTGCTGTGACTCCCACGAACAGGCAGTGTGGGTTTAAAGCTTCGGGTGACATTTGGTCATGTGCCATGATCCCCCACAGACACACAAGCTCGCTCATGACCACGTGTGTGTGAGTAGTTGTCAGATAAACCCACTTTCCGAGGCTGGCAAAGCAGGGGTTGTTTAAATCAGTTTGTGATAGAATCCTTTTTAAAATGGAAGAAACCTTTGGCACACGAAATTGCTCGCTATGGTTTTGTTTGCATATTTATGTCAGCTCTTTAAAAGTCTGACTTCTTCGTAGTCTGATTATAGCCCTGAATTTTGCCCCATATTTGCACCTTGTCATCCTAGGAGCATGTTGGTGACAAAGACAATCTCAGTGGCCAGCAGTTAGTGCCCAGCACTGTGTAAATGCCCCGAGAGTTGGGGCTGGCTGGGCAGAGGGCGCGGAAGTCCGACCGAGCAGCTCTGTGTTCTCTTCCTCTGTCTTTCCAGCGAAAACTGTGAAGGATTTCCAGGATTAAAATCAAGTTATTCTGTCTATGCAAGCTACAGGTCTTCTGAGGGCCCAGAGTCACAGGGATTCTTCACAGAACGAAAGATAAATATCAGATGATCTGTTTTGTGTGCTCTTCAAGTACTTTCTTGAATTTATTATGATTTTTTAGACCTTGAAATAGAACATAAATTAGAATCGATACTAGAATGTCACCTGTGAATCTTTCCCAGGTAGCGACGTGATTCTTAAGTGACATTAATTTTTTATTAGTTTGTAGTTACGGTATTTGGAATTCCGTTTCATCTCTCGCACACGGGCCTCGCGGCTCCTGGTTGGCGTCGCCGCAGGCCTCTGACGGCACCTGTAGTGAAGGCATATTTAGAGAGCAGATAAAGCCAAGCTCTCAGACTGCCAGAGGCCAAGCTGTTATTTAAGGCTAGATTGGGTGCTGCAGTGAACCCAGGGCTTTTTATTCCCTGTTCACTTACTGTGATTATGCGATGCACTGGGGTCTTTCTGTTTCCTGATTTTGTTTTGCTACCTCGACCCTGTCACTTAAGCGGTCTGAATTAAATTCTTTGGGAATTGTAATGCATTGTAGGCCTATGTACTTTCAGCTTAATTAGCTTAAAGTTTCCTGTGGCAGATTCACCCAGTAAATTGTTACTCTGCTTATGACTTTCTGATGTTAGCCTTTAAGAAAAGACATTTAGACTGGGCACAGAGGTGCAGGTCTGTGGCCCCACACTCAGGAGACTGAGGAAGGAGGACTGTGTCTTTAAAAACAACGGAGAGTGAGCAAAGTGATCCATCAGTTTCTGATTTTACATGAGTCAATAGTTGAAGGAAAATATCTTACAGTAGTTCGGTCCTTTTGTGGGTTACAGATGGAAATTAAATAGTATTTATTGTGTTTCTGTCTTTTCAAGGTAGCGGTTGTACAGCGCAGAATTTGAAAACTATGTGACCATTTTCCCTCTTCTACCTGCAGTGTAAAGTGCATCCTCTTAGAGAACAAACAGAACACCAGCTTACCATTGCCGGATGCCACTGAGTCACTTCACTTCAGCCCTGAGTAGGATTGTGTGTTCCCGGGTGTCTTCTGCCTTAAGAGAGGGTCTCGCGATGTGGTGATGCGCCTGGGTAGCTGGGACCGCCCCTTGCTGACTGTCAGGATGGGCTGGGATTTGAACCTGGGCCTCCCAGGTGGCCTCACCCCCAGAGCAGCGGCGTCGACCAGCATGCGTGGCTGTGGCAGGGCCGTATGAGATGGAAGA